GCAACAGCAGCAGCAGCAGAGTAGAAGAGCTTCAGGGCCCCATGGAGATGGGCGCCGCCTCCGCGGGCTGCAGGAGCTGCACCTGAGCAGCATAGAAGCACAGCGGATCCCTTCGCCCCCAAGCCAGCACCCTCATCACCGCCACTACTACCAGCAGCAGCAGCTGCTGCAGCAGCAACTGCAGCAGCAACACCAGCAGCTGCTCTATGGGGCTTACGGCGCATCCTCGCCATACATGAGCAACGCTGGGGCCCGGCGGCACGTGGATGGGGCCGGGGCCTCTCCAGGGGCCTCGTCAGAAGAAGGCAGCAGCAGCGGCAGCAGCAGCAGCAGCAGCAGCAGCAGCAGGAGTGCAGCAGATCGCAGTCCAGGCGGCGTTGCGGCAACAACACCGAATACGCAGCAAAGGGGAGATGGCCGTGCTGCAGAAGAGCAGCAAGAGCAGCAGCAGCAGCAGCAGGAACAACAGGAGGAAGGGCAGCAGCAGCTGCAGCTGCAGCAGCAAGGCAGCGGGGGCAGTATTTCATCGGAGCGAAGCAGCATAGACAGCAGAGACGACGCCGCCGCTGCTGGTATACAGGAGGGGGGTGGGGCCCGCAGCAGCAGCAGCAGCAGCGGCGCCTGGGCCCGTTCAGAGCAGCAGCAGCAGCTGCCGCCCCGCAAAGAAACAGCAGCAACGGCTACTCCCTCTACTGCTGCTGCTGCTGCTGCTGCTGCAAGACCTTTTGCGGGGACGCCGTGCTGCTCAGCAGCAGACGGAGAGGGAGGCAGAGGGCTCACGCGGGGCCGCTGCTTCAGCGACCTCGCCACCCACTGCCAGTACCCCCTCTCGCCTCAGGCAGCAGCAGCGGCATCTGCTCAAGCCTCTCCTGCAGCAGCAGGCGCAGCAGCAGCAGCAGCAGCANTCAGGCAGCAGCAGCGGCATCTGCTCAAGCCTCTCCTGCAGCAGCAGGCGCAGCAGCAGCAGCAGCAGCAGCAACAGCAGCGCAGGGAGGATCTGCCGCAGCGGACTCGACAGCTGTGCCAGCTGCTGCTCGTGAGCGGACGCAGCAACGGAAGAATTTGTATGGACGAGGGTCCCCTGCTGCTGCTGCTGCTGCTGCTGCTGCTGGCGAGCCGCGAGGTCGCGGCGCCGCGGGGCCGCTGGTTTTGAGTTCCTCAGCAGCAACAGCAGCAACAGCAGCAGCAGTTGCAGCAGCAGAAGCAGCTGACGCCTTGCTGCCGTCTGCGGGCCTCAGTGGCAATGGGAGCAGCGGAGAGGAGGATGGGGGCGGCGGCCGTTTGCGTGTCACCTGGAGGATCCGCTCAGGAGACAGCAGCAGCAGCCCCAGCAGCAGCAACAGCAACAGCAACAGCAGCAGCAACAGCAGCAGCAGCAGCAACAGAAACCGCAGCAGCTGCTTGTCTCGGGGTGCATTCAATCTCAAGTCCTTCCTGGTGGCGACGACGCCGGCAGTTCAGGTGTCTCTACAGTCGGGCAGCTCTCTGTGCAGCAGCAGGAGCGCCAACAGCAGCAGCAGCAACAGCAGCGATGGTGGCAGCAGCAGCAGCAGTGACAGCGGCAGCAGCAGCAGTAGCAACAGCAGCAGCAACAGCAACAACGCCAGCGGCAGCAGCGCCAGCAGGGATTCGGGTTCGATGCAAGCAGAGTCAGGCTGCGCGGATGATGCATCTGCAGCAGCCTCAACACCAGCAGCAGCAGAAGCATCCGCAGCAACATCCCCCCCAGCAGCAGCAGCAACAGCAGCAACAGCAGCAACAGCAGCAGCAGCGGCAGCAGCAGCAGCAGGATCTGTATCAAGCGACAGCGACAAGAAGCTAAGCCGCGAGGGCTCTCTGAGTTTCCGCCTGAGCGACCTGTGGCTCTCCTTCGATGACCCCAGCATCTTCGGCCTGGAGGTCCCGCTGCTGGACGAGGAGCGGAGGCCCATCTATGTTGTCTACGTCCCCTACCTCTCCGCCTTGCACCTGTTCCCGCGTCGCAGCAGCAGCAGCAGCAGCAGCAGCAGCAGTGGCAGTGGCAGTGGCAGCAGCAGCAGTGGCAGTGGCAGCGGCAGCAGGGTGGTGCCAGGTGAGGGTTGTTCCCCGCGTAGCAGCGACAGTGCGAGCATGGGTGGTAGCCCAGCCCAGGGGCCCCAAAGGGGGCCCCTGAGGGGGCCCCCAAGAGGGGGGGCCCCCGAGAGCGGGGGCTTTCGTTTTATGGAGGTGCGGCTGCCGTACCAGCGGCGGCCGCTGTCGCAGCAGGTGACCCAGCTGCTGGAGGGGGTCGAGGTGGCGCAGACGCAGCAGCTCAAGCTGCTGCACTCAGACTCAAGAGATCTATCAGATGACTCCTGGTGAGAATAGAAATAATAATAAAATATTATTATTTTTTATTTTTATTTTTGTTTTTATTGGAGGATGTGCTGCTGTTGC